AAGCTAGACAACTTGATATTAACTTCAGAGAAATCACAACAGTTCCTGTGTGGACAACCTTCATAACATGCAAACTGCAACCTAGAGAAATCTGTCGGCTTGCTCTCACTCCAACTGAAGTTGCTTCAGGCCCAGTACTTAGAAATCTCCTTGACTGCTTCCCTCTGGACTCAGAAACTGCACTTATAGTTTGTTCCAACTATTAATTTTTTTATTTTAATAGAAACTATGGCTCACAGCTATAATCCTAGCACTCTGGGAGGCTGAGGCGGGTAGATAGGAGCTCAGAAGTTCCAGACTGGCGTGAGCCAGAGTGAGACTCTGTCTCAAAAAAAATTAAAAGGGTTTGGCACCTGTAGCTCAAGCAGCTAGGGCACCAGCCACATACACCATAGCTGGAGGGTTCAAATCCAGCTCAGGCCCGCCAAACAACAATGACAACTATAACCAAAAAATAGCTGGGTGTTGTGGTGGGTGCCTGTAGTCCCAGCTGTTTGGGAGACTGAGGCAAGAGAATCACTTAAGCCCAAGAGTTTGCGGTTGCTGTGAGCTGTGACGCCACAGCACTTTACCCAGGGTGACAGCTTGAGACTCTATCTCAAAAAAAAAAAAAAAGAAAGAAAGAAAGAAAAAGAAGCCAAACTCACTTTATTAAAGCCCTGACAACTTGCAGCATCCAGCAGATGTCTGCTCCTCCCAAGTCCCAGCAGAAGATTTAGCTAGCCCTTGATGATCAAAAGGTGACCTAACAACAATTTATTTATTTATGGAGACAGAGTCTCACTCTGTTGCCCTCTGTAGAGTGCTGTGGCATCATAGCTCACAGCAGCCTCAAACTCCTGGGCTTAAGCCATCCTCCTGCCTCAGCCTCCCGAGCAGCTGGGACTATAGGCACCCACCACCAAGCCCAGCTAGTTTTACTGTTTTTAGTAGTTGGGGATCTCACTCTTGCTCAGGAGGGTCCTGAACTCCTGAGCTCAAGACATCTACATACCTCAGCCTCCCAAAGTGGTAGGATTACAGGCGTGAGCCACTGTAGCCAGCCCGACAACTATTTAAAGGGAAGAGAAGAGTCTCTTCTGTCCTTGAATTAGCAAGGGCACTGACCAAGATTCTTTGCTTGACCAAACTTTATTTAGGATCCTGAGCCCTTCTGTGCGCTTCTTTGGAAAATCCAATTTTACCAAAGACCCCTGCTAAGTCAGTTTTTTGTTTGTTTGTTTTTGAGACAGAGTCTCACTCTGCAGCCCTAGGTAGAATGCTGTGGCATCATAGCTCACAGCAACCTCAAACTCTTGGGCTCAAGTGATCCTCCTGCCTCAGCCTACCGGGTAGCTGGGACTATAGGCGCCCACCACAATGCCCAGCTAGTTTTTCTGCTTTTAGTAGAGATGGGGTCTCACTCTTGTTCAGGCTGGTCTCAAACTCCTGAGCTCAGACAATCCACCCACTTCGGGCTCCCAAGGTGCTGGGATTAAAGGCATGAGCCATCACACCTGGCCTGGGGAATGGGAAGGGTACCAGGTGTGTCTGGTCACCCTGGCCTCCCTTCAGCAGCAGTCTGCTAGGGTAGGTGAACCAGAATCCCCCAAACCTGATGTTTCCTCTTAGTCATTTTCCATTCCCTGACCACCACCACCCCACCCCGCCCAGCTATAAATCTCCACTTCCCTGCACTGTATTCAGAGATGAGCCCAGTCTCTTCCACTGAAAGACCCTTTTGCAGTGGTCCTTACAGCTAGGGCAATGGTTCTGAGTAGTCTTCCTTACCATGGTTTAACAAGTATCACTGAGTAATTTTTTCTCTAACAGTATCAATGGTAACTTCTTGGTTGTAATCATTTTACTGTGGTCAGATACAGTGTTAACATTTGGGGAAACTACTCAGGCATGGTAGCATGGGTTTGTAGTCCCAGCTACTCTGGAAGCTGGGGCAGGAGGATCACTTGAGCCCAGGGAGTTTGAGGATAACAGGGAGGTATGATTGCACTTCAGCCCAAATGACAGAGCAAGACCTTATCTCTTACCAAAAAACAAAAAAAACCAAACAAAACAAAAGAAAAAAAAAAACCCAGCTACTTGGGAAGCTGAGGCAAGAAAATCGCCTAAGCCCAAGAGCTGGAGGTTGTTGTGAGCTGTGATGCCACAGCACTCTACTGAGGGTGACATAGTGAGACTCTGCCTCAAAAAACAAAACAAAACAAAACAAAATTAGGGGGAAACTGGATGGAAGACATTAGAATTCCTTGCTCTATTTTGTTTTAATGTTTTAGCAAACTGAAGTCATTTCAAAATGAAAAAGGTTAAAGTAAGGAGGTGTTCTACATGATATACTAGAGGCCTGTGCAGGCTATTCACTCACCTGACTCTCTCGGCACAGGATATCTCACAGTAGGAACACCCCCAAAGACTGGACTAGATCCTGTACTCAGCTGGGAGAGCCAGCTTCTCTGTGGCTGGGCCAGGCAGAGCCCACAAGACCTTGGCATGCACCCAACCAGCTATAGTGCCTCCTACCTGTGGGTGAGTGGTGAGTGGAGGCTTCTACCAGCCTCAGTCAGACTTGAGACCCCAGATCCAGCTATGTGACAGACAAAGGCGCTCACTGTAGGACCTGAGCTGGCTCTGGCCCCAGCTACGCTGTGGGAGGACCTTTTCCACCTGAGCTCAGCTCACCCATGAGCCTGCACTGTTTCCCGGCAGATGACACCAAGATGTGGTTCTGGGGAGTCTGCGGGCAGGCTGGGCATCCAGACCCACCAGAACAAGGCCTGAGGCCATGCTGTGTTCCCCAATGGCCATGCTTGCTCACAGACTTGCCTCCACACTGGTCAGCCCACCCCCAGCCTCCACATCTACACAGCACAGCATAGGCACCTCAGGCCAAACCAGAGACAGATTATATGGGAAGGAGGCATCTGAAAAGGGGAATCAGGGGACAGATGCACCTGGTGACAAGTACAGCAGATGATGTTAAGATGTTTTTTGTAGAAAGAGTCTCACTGTGTTCTCCAGGCTGGTCTCAATTTCCTGGCCTCAAGCAATCCTCCCACTTCAGCCTCCCAAAGTGCTGGAATTACAAGGTGAGCAACCATGCCCAGCTGCAACTTTAAATGGGTTGCCTCCCTAAGATTTTAAGAAAGACCTGGGAGAAGGCTGGGCCCAGTGGCTCACACCTATAATCCTAGCACTCTGAGAGGCTGAGGCAGGTGAATTACTTGAGGTCAGGAGTTCAAGACCAGACTGAGCAAGAGCAAGACCTCGTCTCTACTAAGAAGAGAAACCTAGCTGGGTGTGGTGGTGGGCACCTGTAGTCTCAGCTACTTGGAAGGTTGAGGCCGGAGGATGGCTTGAGTCAAAGAATTTGAGGTTGCTGTGAGCTATGACGCTACAGCACTCTACCCCAGGCATCAAAGTAGAACTCTGTCTCAAAAACAAAAAAGAAATATCCACAAGAAGTGAGGAAGACTGCATTTGGGCATCTTGAGTTCTTCACTGGAGGGGCCAGTAAGCACAAGGCCCTGGGGCAGGAGCTGAGTGGAGTGTCTGGCAGGGGGTGAATTTGGAGCAGTGCGAGGCATTGCAGTCACACCAGCATGGGAGGACCCTAGTGTGTCCTGGTCCTGTCCTGCCTGGGAGCTGAGGGACCATATGGTACCCCACACCAAAAAGGTAAACGTCACAATTGTATTCATTTCTTAGGGCTGCTATAACAAAGCACTAAAACAGACCAGCTTGAACAGACGTCTACTGCCTCATTCTAGAGGCTGGAAGCTCAAAAGCAGGAGAATCAGGTGGAGCAGCTCCCCCCAGAAGGCTGAGGAGAGGCTCGGACACAAGCCTCCCTCAGCCTCTGGTGACTTTTCTGCTTGTGGCAGCAGAAGTCCAGTCTCCACACACTGTCTCACTTTGCATGTCTGTCCTTGTGTCCAAATCTTCCTCTTTGTATAAGGACACCTGTCACGCTGGGTTGGAGGATTAGAGCCCCCTCAAACAACTGCATTCTATCTTGGTCATCTCTGTAAAGAGATGTGACTCCAAGCAGTCACAGTTTGACCTACTGGGGTCAGGATACCAACATATGGTTTTTGGTGGACACACCTCAACTCATAACAACAGTCTGTACCTTAGGCTGCCCCTTCTTTGGGGGCCCCAGGGCAGGCAGGGGAGAAGTGATCCATGACAAGGGCTTGGAAAGCTTTCCCCGGGCAGGTCTGGTCTCCAAAGTAGAGACAAACATCAGGGGAGACTCTTTCTGAGGGCAGTGTGCCTGATGAGGGCAGTGGAGGTGCTGGCATAGAGTGCTAGTGCAGGACACGGGTAGGTACTGGGGCAGAAGACGTTGTTGGCTGGGGTAGTGCCCTGAGCTGGAAGCCTGTTGTCCTGACTTGACCAAACACATGTGGGATTTGGAACCTCAGTTTTGCATTGGGCCTGGAGGTATGGGCTTGGTCACCACTGGGATCCCATGGAGGGCACCAGGCTCCAGCAGGGTGTTCAGGGCAGAAGCAGGGAGGGACAGGGAGGCCCCTGCTCCTCCTCAAGCTAACTTGGCACATGCCACACCCAGGCTTGGAAGCTATGGTGCAGGTCCACTCCTACTCTGCACTCTCGCTGATCCAAGAAGGCCAAATTGGTGGGAGCTGCAAAGACAGGGGAAAGCCTGGAGTTCAGAATTGGATACAGGGGTTTTTTATGTGCAGCCACACCCGAGGACCTGTGCTCCAGGGTGCTGGACACATGAGGGGCTGAGAAAGATTAGCCCTGCTGCCCCTCCCTCCATCCTTGGGATGTCATGGTCAACCTGGGGACCAGAATCCCATGGCCACCTGGTAAACACCAGCACCTACTGTGTCCCAGGTGCGTGGCTCTGTCACAGCAATGGAGGAAACAGAAAGAGCCTTGTGCAGGTGTCAGGGCCTTCACAGCAGCTCCTGCAGGACACGTGGTAGCTCCTGCCAACAGCTGGCACACGGGGACAGGCCTCAGGACACACACACTCACCACAGCCTGAGTTTTATTATCAGCAGCTCATATTCAAGTACAGACTCCTACAAAGTCTGGCTCGCAAGGAGGAGGAAGAGGGCAGGAGCTGGCTGTGCCCATTGCTAAGGTGGGCGGCCAGAACCCACAGCCCCAGGTGGGCAAGCAGGGGTCTGAGAGCCCCCCACATACACAAAGACCACCTGGCACACACAGGACTGTCCAAACACACAAGACTCCAGCACACGTAAGGACACTGAATCAACTGGGCTTTCTTTGTGCTTGTGTCCAAATGTGGCTGGTGTCCTCTTCAGGAGCAGGTCTGGTAGTTGGGACTGAAGCAAATCCATGCCCAGTTCCCCCAGAGAGGGGTGACTTCTGTCATTTGACCTGGCCAACAGTGCCTGAGGAGGAAAGATACACAAGTGTGTGCGTGAGTCTTTGCACGTGAGCCTCAGGATGGTGGACCTGTGCACGTGCCTATGAGGCACGTATGCATGTATCTTACATGTGTGCAGGGGAGGCCCAGGTGTATTCATGTGCTCACAGCACTCTTGGTCCTGCCCCAGACCTGTGTTGGGCTCCACTGTCCCCCACTGGCATAAGGGCAGACCCTGAGCTGGGTGCGGGGAACAAGATAGGTCACACACAAATCAGAAGTCCATGATCCTGGCAGACGCCGGCCAAGTCCCAGGCAGTGCAGTGTGGCTGGGGAGGGTTCCCTTCCAAACTGGCCTGTGATCCTTCCCTGAGCCTGCTGGCTGCGCCCAGATTGTTGGGCTAGCTCTGCAGAGTGAACTCATGGGTACTGGTCTCCCAGCGGGATGGGTCCTTGTCCAGCATGTTGCGCTCGGTGAAGGTCACGTGGCCATCCGTGTCCACAAGGATGATGGTGTTGGTTCTGAAAGGGCACAGGGCCCACAGTCACCCTTTGTCCCTCAGCCCCTACACTACCTATCAGAGCCATGGCTGGGGCCAGACGGAGGTGAGAAGGGGCAGCCCCACACCTGTGCCAGATAACTGGAGCAACAGATAGCCTTGGGGATGTGGGGCACATGGGGAGCATCTGGGCATCAGCACCCAGGAAGTCCAATCACTTCAAGTCTGAAACACGCTAGTCTGCCCAGCTCATCCCTGCAGTGTGAGCCCAGCCCTGCCACTTTCACATGGCATCCTGTGGGCTGACCACGTGCTTCCCCACCCAGGACACCATACAGGCTGCCACCCAGGGAGAGCATACACTGAGGTTCCCCTGTGGGGCTAGACCCAGTAGCCACACAGCCAGCCAGGGAGCAGACCTGGCACCTGCTGCCCCATGCACGTGGGTTAACGTCAGCAAACATGACAGTCATGAAAACAAGCCTGTGACAGAAAAAGAAGTCTGTGACAGAGGACGGGTTGGAGGGAGACGACACCCTGCAGCACTAAGAGGGACGAGGAGGGCACCCACCCCAGTGGCAGCCCGTGGGCCTGAAGCCACAGGGCAGCACCTACTGGCCTCCCTGTTGCCCCTCGACCGGCACAGAAGGTCAGCCTACAGGGCCCCCAGGAGCCTGACAGTTAACCCTGGAGTCTGCTGGCCACTGTAGCCTGTCTAGACAGGGCTTTGGAATCCACTCAGCCAGAAGGAACCTGGTCCCAGCTAGCTATGGAGCATGGGGATGCTTGGTTTCTTGGCCAGTCTAGCCCTCCAACCTAGGAGGTGGGATGCAGGACGAGAAGGTGCCACACGGGCAGCCCTGTCGTACCTGGTGCCATAGCCTGGGCAGCGCACACACACGGCCGAGTACTTGCTCAGGAAGGGCCGCACGTACTCCTGGCCCTGGTCCTCAATGGCTGGGTCTGGCAGCTGTCTGCAAGGACAGGGGAGGGGTAGGAGTCAGTCTCAGCTGTCTATCAGGGTGGCCCTCCTTTCATCCTGACTGGCTTTGGAGAGTGGCTGGGAGGAACCACACGGATTATTTCAGCTACACTGTGCTCATGGCTGCAAATCTCCATCCACCCTTCCACCTCCGACTCCCTCTCTGAGCCCAGGCCCCTGCAGCACAGTGCTCTCTCCAACTGCCCAGGGAGGTGGCCTACAGGGACCCGTCCACTCCAGCCCTGTGACTTGCCAGGCACTCAGCACCAGGGCTACAGCTGCCCACAAAAGCAGACAGGGCCAATCACAGGCCTGCCCAGGACAGCACAGGGACTAAGGGCCACATGCACTCAGCTGGGAGGAGGCCGGGAGGGGTTCCCCAAAGCGGGTAGCAATAGTAAGGCTGAAGGCTGGGACCATAGCTCAGAGGTCCAGGGCAGGAGGCAGCCATGGGGGCTCCTCTGAGGGTGCAAGCTGGATGGCCAGGAGTGGACGTAGGGTCACCCATGCTGGATGTGGCACCCATGCCTGGCCTTGGAGAGGAGGGAGGAACATGGCAGCTACCTTACTGGGTGGGAGTAAGATTGTGTTGGCAGGCACTGGGACCCCTAGCTGGGGTGGCCAAGACCCTGGTGTCCAGGGTCTGAAGGGTGCCACCCGGAGGTCAGCTGAGGGTCCTGGAGGCCTAAGGGTGAAGGAGCAGTGGGGTTTCTCTGGCCAGCATCTCCCAAGTGGTAAGTCCCTGCCTCCTGCTCAGCCCACAGTCTCTGGGGACCCCAAGACATGCTGACCCCTGGCTCTCGCTTTTGTGGTTTATCCCTTCCTCCCAGATTTGCAAAGAATCTTCCAGAATTTCCTACTAGCAGAGGGGAGCACCAGACTGCTCTGGATCTCTCAGCACTGGGCTTCCTAGGGCCCAGGCCCAGGCCTTGCCATCTGTCACTGGAAACCTCAACTGCACAGAGGGGCAGGCGGGAGGCAGAAGAGACAGCGTGTCTATCATCCTGGGCACTTCCAGGGCCTTCTTCCTCTCAGCCCCAGGAAACTCACGCCTCTTCATTGCTGAGCACATCCAGGAGCTGGGCAACCAGGGTATCCTTGGGCAGTGCCTGGCACCGCTCCACGGCCTCCTGGAAGAGCCGCTTCCCAAAGCACAGCTTCCTCCAGGGCGTCTCCAGCAGTGCGTTGCTCAGCCCGTAGGTCCCTGTGGGGAGGGGTCAGCCTGGCCATGCAGAGGCCCTGCTGTGCCATTCCAAGGTAGACCCCCACCTGCCCAGCACAGGGTGAGGTACCAGGTATAGCCATGGGTAGCACAGGTAGATGAAACTGAGGCCAGGCCAACCCCATGCTCCAGCACCATCTACCCATTCCAGACCTCTGTGTGTGGCGAGGAGTATAGAACTCAGCACAGGGGACAGACCCACAGGAGACCCCAGGACACAGGGGCCAAGTGGCCTGGGTGGATGGATAAATAAGGAACAAGCAAGTTGAAATCCAAAGGTAGTGAAGAGGGCAGTGGAAGGGAGCTGCCTCCAACCTCACCTATCCCTAAGTGAGGGGCAGGGGCCACCTGAGCAGGTCAAGGGTGGAAGAGTCAGCAGCCTACAGCCAGGAGGGCACCCACCACAATGAGTGCTGATTCATGTCAGCTCATGGGGGCAGCCACACCTAGAGGCCACAGCCAAGGCCTTAACAGAGAATGGTCTACCTCTGCACACCAGCTGGGACCCTGGCTAGGGGAGCTGACAGGACCTTGGTACAAGGACTATGTGCTGGGGTTTCTCAGAACAAGTTTCCAGAATGGCGATAGGGGTGTGACCAAAAGGAAAAGGCTTTCAGGTCACAACAGTGAGGTGGAGCGGCCCCTCAGAACCTCTCCTCCAGAGGTCAGGCTTGCTCAGAGCAGTGGAAACTATGATGCACCAGGGATGCCTCTGCCCTGCCAGACTTCCAGGCGAAGGTCTCAGCCAGGTCTGACGTTGCTCCAGGTGCCTCCCAGGGAAGAGCCCCCTCAGCCAAATCACCAGCCACAGGTGTTACCAGCAGTGACATGGAAAGGCCATCCAACTGGGTACACATGGGCAAAGAATACAGCTACCTCACACCATACACAGAAGTTAACTCAAGCAGGACCAGAGACCTGCGTGAAAGAGCTATAACCATGAAACTCAGGAGAAAACACAGGCTGAAATGCCATGACCTTAGATTAGATGATGGCTTCTTGGATAAGAGACCAAAGGCCAAAAGCAGAAGCAACAAAAAGACAAAAAATAGAAAAATGGGACTTCATCAAAATGTAAAGCTTTGTGCTTCAAAATATTCCAGGAAGAAAATAAAAAGAAAAGGTACAGAAGGGAAGGTAATCTTTGCAAATCATGTATTTGATAAGAGACCCTAGCTAGAATGTATAAGGAATTCCTACAGTTCAAAAAGACAACCAATTTGAATAAACTTGCCCCTGAAGAAGGCATACAAACGTCCAAAAGGCAGGTCAAAGGCACTCAACAGCATCAGCATCAGAGAAAGGCAAATCGAAACCACAGGGAGACACCACTTCACACCCACTGGGATGCAGCAAGCGTTGCTGAGGATTCAGAGAAACGGCAACTCTCGTGTTGCTGGTGGGGATGTAAAATGGTGCAACTGCTTTGGAAAACAGTTTGGAAGTTCCAGAAAGTTAAACAGAATTCCAATATGATCTAGCAACTCTACTCCTAGGTGTATAAGTGAGAGAAATGAAAACATGACTTGTCCTGCAAGTTTCCGACGGCCTTGTTCATAATAGTCAAAAGGTGGAAACAAACCATGTGCCCCTCAACTCATGAATGGACACAGAACCAGGAAAACACATGTCCACGCAAACAGGCTCACAGCTGCATTATTCGCAAGCCAAAAGGGGGAAGAAACTCAAGTGTCCCTCAGTGGAAGAAAGCAGAAACAAAATGTCATATATCCGTACAATGTTATTTAGCCAAAAAAGAAACACAGTACTGATCCGGGTTCTGTAAACTAGACCCTGAGAACATTAGGGTAAGGGGAAGAAGTCAGTTCCCCAAACCACATGGTATACAACTCCATCCATATGGACTGTCCCATAGCGAATCCTGAGACAGAAAGCCAATCAAAGGTTACCAGGGGCGGAGATGGCCCAGGCAGGGCAGCTGATGAGCCCTGGAATTAGGTAACAGTGATGGCTGCACAACTTTGTGAATGAACTGAAATCCACTGAAGGATACACTATATATAAATGGGTGAGCCTTGCTGTGTGAGTCATAGCTTATAAAGCTGTTATAAAAAAAGAAAAAAGTGACACTGATCAGCGGGGGAAGGCTGAGAGGTGAGACATGGAGTGGATGGAGAGGACTTCCCCAGGACAGAAATCAGCAGAAATCACGGGGGTGGTCACAGCTGCACCCCCAGGGTTTCTGAGCCAATGTTCAGACTGGGGGGAGCCTCTGTCTCCTTCTGTGCCTCTTAGTTTCCAACTCATGGCTCAAAGCAGCCCAGCTACATGCAAACTGTGAGCCCACCTCCATGAGCACAAACCTGTCCTGCCTCACACCTGACCCACAACACTCACCAGCACAAACAACACCAGGAACCAGCCAGGGCCGTGTCCCCATCTCCTGCTCACGTTTGTGTCTGTGCCTTGTCACCCATCTCTTGGGGCATGATTGAGGCTGCTTTGAGCCCCAACATCTCTGTCCAAGGCTGAGAGGGGAGGACCAGGGGCTCAGAGGCCGGCTGGCAGGATGAGCCCACATGTAGGAGAGGGCTCCAGCAGCATGTGCAGGGCAGGTGTGGGACATGCTAAGAGCCACTTCCAGGAAGATGGCTCCTCTGAGGATCTCAACTGGCCCACGGGGACCTTGCACAGATGACACCCAGCATCAGGCTCTGAGCTGCCAGGCCTACCTGTGGCAAACACGCCACTGTGCAGACATGGGAAGCTGAGAGCCAGCCCCAGTGTAGGCTGGGCAGAGACCAGGGACTCAAGACAAGCCCTGCAGCTCCACCTTCCCTTGAGAGGCAGGTGGGCTGTGGGCCGCTGAGGGTGCTGGCGTCCAGGGGCCAGGCAGACATCTGAACACATGGTCCCAAAATGCAAGCAGTGAGATGTGGCTGCAGGTAGTGACTAGCAGGGACAGGGGCCTCAGCCTGGGCTCGGGTGTCATGCACCCAGACTGCCCTGCTGGACAGTGTTGTGCGTGTTTCCTGAGGGTGCTGCTTTGTCCTGGAACAAGATGCATACCACCCTCCCCCTGAAGCAGCTCACAGAGTGGAGCAACGTGACACCCTTCTGTATACTCGGGCAGAGGAGGCCTCCAGGATATTGTGGCACCCGAGGGAGGGGACAGAAGGGCGCACCAGCAGAAGGCTCAGGCCAAGCAGCAGGGCAGTGCCAGGGTCAGGGCATAGGTGGGCCCAGCTACGGAGTGTGGATGGGGCGGGTGGGGATGTAGATGGAGGAGCAGACAGGGGCCGGGCCCAGGAGATGTGTGAGAGCAGGGCCAGACACCAGTGTGCACGTGAGAACCAGGGAGAGTCCCTGCAGAGCCCCAGATGGTGATGGCCTTAAGGCTGAGAAGGACAGGCAGAGCCTGGCACACTGGGCCAGGTGGCACAGGAGGTGGGGCAGAGATGGGGCCGCAGGTGGGGCTGGGGGGCCAGCAGAACAGTAGGGCTAAGTGGGAAGCAGAGCAGGGCATGCCTCCCATAGCAGGAGCAATGTGGTGAGAATGGCAGGGTGCAAGAGCAGGCCACAGGCCCATACAGACCATAGGTACGCAGATGGCCAGCAGAGCAGTCCCAGAAGAATGCTACAAAGGGGTGGGGCCTTTTACAAAGCACAGGGTGTCCCCTGCACAGAAGCACACCCCCACCCTAGTCAGGCTGCCAACGCAGGCTCACCTGGCGCCAGGACAACAGGCTCAGGATCCCCCCGGTTTCCATAGTAGCAAATGATATCTCCCCTCGTTGTGCTGTGGATAAGAGGAGAGACAGACAGGAGTAACAAGGCATCCAGCCCACAGCACTGCCCAGCAAACCCACAGCCCTGTCCCAGTACAGAGGAGCCTGAGAAGCAGAGACATGGAGACCCAGGCTGCTTCCCAGCATCAGGCTCACTCCTGGCTCACCCTGGGGACCACCAGCCCTGGAGGAATAGCATCTAAAGACCTCCTGCCTCTCTGAAGGCCTCATGGCTCTGGCATGCAGGTGGCCTGTGGTGATGACTGCAGGGCTGACCCCACCCCCACTCACCCCTCCAACAGATCCTCCACAGGCCATGGGGCGCATCTCTGAGGCCTCTGGACAGGAGGCCCGAGGGTGAAGGAGGCTTCAGAACAAAGAACCAAAGGTCTTGCTCTCTTCCTCTCATGTCCTAAGCATGGACTTTTAAATAGTTACAATACTCCCCAGATGAAAACGTTCTTTTTTTTGTTGGGTTTTTTTGAGACAATCTCATTATGTTGTCCCTGGTAGAGTGCCATGCTGTGGTGGCACAGCTCGCAGCAACCTCAGACTCTTGGGCTTAAGCAATTCTCTTGCCCCAGCCTCCCAAGTGGCTGGGCGCCTGCCACAATGCCTGGCCATTTTTTTGTTGTAGTTGTCATTGTTGTTTTTAGCAGGCCTGGGCTGGGTTCGAACCTGCCAGTCCCCAGTGTATGTGGCCAGAGCCCTACCTGCTGAGTTATGGGTGCCAAGCCTGAAAATGTTCTTGTTCCTCAATGCCACTGTAAATCTTCTAGAACTTGGAATGCCTTTTGTGCAAACTAAAGAGGGACTCTTTGTGGCCTTCCTGAGTTGGATGCTGGACATGGAGTCCTGTGCTTTCAGAACAAATGGACCCAGGGAAAAGGCCATCACCGGTGCCTGGAGCCTGCCTTCCTCCTGCAATGCTGCCACCAGGCAGCCCCGCCCCACATCCCAGCAGCTTCTAGAATAGCGGTTCTCAACCTGTGGGTCGCAACCCTTTTTTAACAATCAAAATACATTGCGGCATCAGGGAAGTTGAGAACCACTGTTCTAGAACATCCAATCTGCATTAGCATTCTACCCAGTATGTACAGCCTTTGGCAACTTTCTTAAGACATCTGGCTAATGAGTTCAGAGATTTTGTTTGCAGGCAAAGGCTCTTTTGAACATTTTGTGTAAGGATCTGCAGAACTGGGCACCCACAATGAGGGCCCCAGTGCCGCCTCAGGCTAGGCAGAAGGTGGGTGTGACCCAGGATGAGCCTTTCTCCCTTCCAGGCCTGGGTATCCTCACTGGCACTCACCAGCAGGGCTGCTCACTGGCCTCTCTCACTCCCACCCTCCAGCCTCTGCCCTTCTGCTCCCTGGATGCTGCCTGGCCTCTTTGTCTGGGAACTAGAGGGTAGACCCCACCCTGTAGTCTCTGGCAGCCAGGAGAGCTGCTGAGGCTCTGAAGACCCTAAGCCCTCCTTGACTGCAGGTGCCACCTGCCCATACAGGTGCTCTGAGCATGGCAACCTCAGTGCTAGCCATGACAGGCTGCTGAGTCCAGTCCCACTGGTATCACAGCCACAGGTCTGGTCTCCTGGGGCAGGGTCAGGCCTAGACGGAACCACTGAGACCCAAGTGGTCCCACAGTTTGGGAAGCACAGAGAGCACGGACTTTGTCCCCATAGGTGTGGAGACATGAGGGGGGAGGAGGCTCCAGGCAGCAGTGCCCAGCACCAGTACCCACCCTGGGGACACTGTAACTCATGCAGCCCCATCTTGAGGGCAGTTGCCATGTGCAACAGATGCTTGAGAAATAGTGGGCCAGGAGCTCGAGGGCCAGGACAGAGGTCATAGAGCTGCCTCGTAGAAGGGGCAGTCTCAGGACTGGCATCTAGACATAGGCCGGCCACACTGTGCTGACAGTTGGGGACCCAGGAGGAGGGAGGACAGTGCAGGGGTCGGGGGAGACGCTCACCTTGCCGAAGGTAAAGCACACAGAACCTCCTCAGCTCTGTGGTGCACCTCTACCATGAGCACAACACCCTAGCTTTCCTGGCCAGGACTCCCCACCATTGGGGGGACACCCAACTGGGGCCATTCCATCCACAGACTCAGGCTCCCTGAAGGCAGGGACCCAGCAGCTCCCATACTGTCACAGGAAGCCCCCATGCTCTATTCCCAAGTCCTTGAGTTGGTGTGTCTACCGCACACAGGGTCCACAGGACGCCTGCCAAGCCACTGGGGGTGACATCTCTGAAGAGGCTTCTCAGGCATCCATAGCTCGCCCCAAGTGGAAGTGCCTTTCCAATGAGGCTGAGGGCAAGGCCGCCACTCCCCGCCCAGCAGACACACCTGAGGTCGGCTGCTATGAGGTTGAAGCCGTTGTACAGGTGGCCCTCCATAGAGACCTTCTTCAGGTAGGACAAGCTGTCCATGTCAGTGGTCAGAAAATGGGTCACGAGTTCTCCTATGGGCAGGGGACAGACGCCCAATGGCTGAGAAGGGAGGAAGACTCCAGGGAGCAGTGCCCAGCAAGGGTAGTGCGGCAGGGAGGAGCCCCTCTCCCTGACAAGCCCTCCCTGCAGGAGTGCACAGGTAGGGTCCAGCCGGAGCCCTGCGACCAGAACCACTTGTAGAGTCAGCCACATCCCTGTTCTACCCAGCTGCCTCAGGATTTAGCCCTGAGAGCTCTGTTTATTTTGGTTTTGAAAAAATTTCCCCCATCCTGTCTCCATACAGAAATCTAGCACCAAGGGAAACAGAACCTTCAGTGGGGACAAAGTGTATCCACCGAAGTTTCCCCTTGGGAAAGGCACCTGAGCTCCAGACAACCCACAGATAAGGAAAAACCATGGCTGTACCAGCACTGCATGAGCCAGGCTAAGGGCGGCTCCCCAGTGATACCGCAGGGCACCTCCGGGGTCCATTCCCCCTGCTGTATCTGCCAATGAACCCATAGACCACCTGTGGCAGTGGCTCTCTCTAGACAGCCACTGCCACAGGGGCTTAGCCTGCCCCTCAACTGTACCTTGGCCCTGCCCCTGCCTCAAGGTACCCTAGCATACCGTAGGGTCCACTGCCTTAGCTTGACCCTGCCCTCTGCCTGTACCTTGGTCTCACCCCTGCTGAGGCCCCTCCCAACCCCACTCACCATACCTCGGCCCCGGGCCTCACGGTCCAGCCGTGGCTGCAGGTAGTTGGTGAGTGCCGCCAGCTTTCCCCGTGTGCTGATGCCCAGCCACGTGCCTCCTTCCTTCCCCTCCTCCATGTCGAGCCCTATAGTGAACAACAGTGTCACTATTAGCAGCACCACTCATTCAGTTCCTCCATCCCATTCCCATCCAGCTCCAGGGAGACGCATGCACCGCTCAGCTCCTTCCTAAGGCTCCACCCTGCACCTCTGAAGACACCCATCCCAATGCCAACCTTAGGCCCTGAAACCCAGCGGGCTACACGTGGAGAATGGAACACAGCCTTGCACTTGGACTTCCCCAGGCTCCAACCGCAAGTCCTAGAGCAGGTACAAAGATACTAGCTGTCCCCCCCAGCAGGCTCCACCCCTAGCAGGCCTACAGGACCCTGGGATGGTGTCACATGAGGAGCTGGGTACATGCCCAGGCCATCTACCACCCACCTCATCTGTGGGGTCAGGGCCAGGTTAGTGATAACCACCAGGCCAGCCACAGGCTCAAGCTGTGACAGGCTGCTGAAAAAAATCCTAAAGCTGCAGGGGGGTGCCTTTCTAGACTAGAAGATAGAAGGTCACTCTCACCGAAAGATTGGAACAAAAATGTCTCGAGTCATTAAAATGTTATTATTATTACTTTTTTTTTTTGAGACAGAGTCTCACTTTGTTGACCTCAGTAAAGTGCTGTGGCATCACAGTTCACAGAAACCTCATACTCTTGTGCTTAAGCAATTCTTTTGCCTCAGCCTCCCAAGTAGCTGAGACTATAGGTGCCTGCCACAAAGCCTGGCTACTTTTTTGTTGCCGTTGTTTAGCTGGCCCGAGCTGGGTTTGAATCCACCGGAGGTGGCAGGTTCAATCTCGGCCCAGGCCAAAAACTGTAAAAAAAAAAAAAAAAAAAGCCAGGCGTTGTGGCAGGTGCCTATAGTCCCAGCTACTTGGGTGGCTGAGGCAAGAGAATCACTTAAGCCCGAGAGTTTGAGGCTGTTATGAACTGTGACACCACAGCACTCTACTGAGGGTAACATAGTAAGACTCTGTCTCAAAAAAAAAAAAATACTTAGATAAAAACAAAACATTTAGGAAAACATTTAACCAAAAGATGGTTGATAGCTAGGGTCAAAAACCACAGGGTACCACTGAGAGTGTGAGGTTGAGCCGACCTGATTTAAGGAGAGGTGTACAAATCTACTGTCTGGATGACTCAGCATTGTTAAGGTGATGATACTCCTCCCCAAGTCACCCAAGGATCCAACACCATCCCTATCAAAATCCCAGCAGACTTTTTGTTTTATAGAGAGTAACAGACTGACTCTCTAAATATACATGCATTTGTAAAGGAGCCAGAATGGCCAAAAACAGTCTTGAAAAAGAACAGAGCTGGAAGACTCACACTGCCTGATTTCCAGACTTACTAAAAAGCATCAGTGATTGGCCAGGTGTGGTGGGTCATGCCTGTGGTTCCAGCACTCTGGGAGATAGAGGTGGGAGGATTGTTTGTGCTCAGAAATTGGAGACCAGCCTGAGCAAAGCAAGACCCTATCTCTACTAAAAATTAGATGGGTGTGGTAGCAGATACATGTAGTCCCAGCTACACAGGAGGCTGAGGCAGGAGGATCATTTGAGTTCAGGAGTTTGAAGCTGAGGCCATGGCACTCTAATTTGAGTGACAAAGTAATATTCTCTCCCCGCCTCCAAGCAAAAAGGACGGTGCCTATGGCTCAGTGGGCAAGGTGCCGGCCCCATATGCCGATGGTGGAGGGTTCAAATCTGGCCCTGGCCAAACTGCAACAAAAAAATAGCTGGGTGTTGTGGCGGGCACCTGATGTCTCAGCTACTCAGGAGGCTGAGGCAAGAGAATCGCATAAGCCCAGGAGTTGGAGGTTGCCGTGAGCTGTGTGACGCCACGGCACTGTACCATGGGCGATAAAGTGAAACTGTCTCTACAAAAAAAAAAAAAAAAACTTAGGCAGCGGTAACCAAGCTAGTGTGGCAGTGGCTGATCAATGGGGCACAAGTGAGTCCAGACAGACCCACGTGCTTGCATCAGATCCACCAGTCCTTTCAAAAGATGGCAAGTTGCCTTAATAACACAGCAGGCCCAAGGACATCCATTTAATAAATGATGCTGGAAAACCAGGAAGATGGGGGTAGGGACTGGATATCAACCTCTATCTCACACCATGTTAAAGAATTAACTCCAAATAACTCAGAAACCAAGACATAAAATCCAAAGGCGGGCTTCTAGAAGCAAAGGGAAATATCACTGTGACCTTAATGTTGGCAAAGGCATTTTAGATAAGACACAAGAAGAACAAACAATAAAAGAAGAAACTACGCTTTGTTAAAATAAAACATTCGGTTCACCCAAAGATAGATGATCACTGAAGAAATGAATAGGAGATACGTTATCCACTAGAGAACCCATATCCAGAATGTATAAAGAACTCTTACAAATCAATAATTTAAAAAAATTGAGTGAAACTTCCAGGTCTGACCAAGGAACAGGGACCAGATTTGCCTTTCCACTTAAAAACAAACCAAAAAGTAAAATACATGAATCAATGGGTGCTAAGATGAAGGATCTGAGAGGCAGGAAACAAGGAGAGCCCGTGGCCGGGGAGCCTCCGGGACCCAGCACAAATCCCCTGAGCTGAAGAGAGGGCCTGATGGAGGCGTGTGGGTCATGAGGGGCTTGGTGCCTTCTCACTGTTAGTTCTCCAGAGTCACACACCTCTCTCCTCCCACCTCTTCCCCTCTCCAGGTATGGTCTCTACACATGCGCCATGAGCAGAAGCAGCCTGAGGCCCTCACCCTAGACACAGCTGATGCATCCACTGGGAACCACAGAAGCCTAAGCCAAATAAACCTCTTCTCTTTCATGCATCCTCGTGTAGTCCCTTACAGCAACACAGACAGACTGAGATGATGGCACAGAAGACCAGAGAGGGGCGAGCTGCACAGGGATCCCAGAGATCTGACGAGCATGTGTGTCAGGAAACTGCCCAAGGCCAGGGGCAGAGCTGCCAGCGCCCAGGCAGAGCGGGGGATGCTGCCTATGTCCAGACGCCAGCCTGGAAGACCTCAGGATCCAGGTGGCACTGGTAAAAGAAGACAGAACCTCACCTGGGGGTGGGGCAACCTCCATGAACTAATATATGGAGGCACAGAGAAAAAGAGGGACAGAGATGAAGAGATAGCAGGAGGCAGAAAAAATATTTTTGGCAAATGACACTGTCACACACATACACAATACTTGAAGAATAGCCAACTTTTTACAAATCTGATGGTCTGCATTTCTAACAAGTTCTCCAGTAATGCTGATGTTACTGGCTCAAGCACCACACCTGGAAAACTACTTACCAGCCTAAATTTGGACACACAATGTGGCAATGCCAGGCAGAGAGGGTGCAGAGCTTATCGGCATGGCCACTCTGCCGCTTGGTGGGAGCCAGTGTGCACTGGTGTGCCAGCTGCCACCAGGCCACACAAGGGTGAACAATTCCTGGAGGCTGGCGCTCCCCAGCTGGGTCGGCAGCCATTCAGGGGAACAGCCCTGGATGCCAAGGAGAGATGGGCAGCCACAGTGGTTGAGGGTAACCCTCTGTTTGAGCCCCCAAGTCCTCATCTATAAACCTCCCACTTCTTGAGGGCATCAGCCCCTGGCCCTTGCTGGGCCCCCTGTACCTGCATACCACTGTCCACCAAGCCTGGGATGGCTTGCAAGTGTCTTTACTGTGCCACAGGCCTTCTACAGCTCCCTCTTCTGGGAGAGCCATGGTCAGCCCAGTTGAGGGCACCCCACAACACCCTGTGGGCTATGAGCCTTCAACTCTGGACAGAGGCCCCACCCCTGCCCTCTGTACAGCCACTCCCACAGCCTCATGCTGCAGACATCTAGGCACCTCCAGAGTCTCCCACACAGGTTCTGATGTGGCCAAGACACAGCCCAGAGCGCCAGACTCCTCACCCCTTGTACACAGCTGTCCTGAATCACACTAGCTGCCAGTCCTTCAGGCCCTTCTGCCCTGCCTCAGTCTCCCAACTCTCATCCTCTCCACAGTGCTGGGACCATCAAGCCCTGGCAGTGCTCTCCTCATACCACTGCTGGGCCACAGAAGGGTACCTCTGTTCAGATGCCACACTTGAGCAGTTACACATCACACGTGGGGACCTAGGAGGTGGAGCATACCAGCATCGCAGACTTATAAGACCACATGCCTGGCCTGGGCAGACACCCTGGGGCACCTCTGTCGGAAATGGCAGGCCGCCTTGGGCCTACCTGGCACCCAGCCCACAGGCAGAGGGATCCTGGTCTGGCCGGCTCCACACACCTTCCAAGGAGACTACTGCCCACCCAGTGTACAGAACAGCTTCTTGTCCACCAGGACCTCACTGAGGCTGTGTATGGGAGGGATGGGGACACAGCTGCCCACTCCATGTCTGCCCTGCAGGAACTCCTCTCACAGCACAGGCCTGGGGTAGGTGCAGGTTTCAGGCCCGCTCCCCACCCACATGTGCCCTCTGGCACCTCTGTTTCCCAAGCTCAGGACAGCTTGCCCCAGGGCAAGGTGCTTGTGCACCAGCAGAAGCATGAATGCATGAATACAGACACACATGTGGACACTCACACACCACGGGGGTGTTGCACAAAGTGACAGAGTACAGACCTGTTCCCCATTCCATCCACGAATCCAACCACATGCCCACAGCGAAAGGATGGAGCCAAATAAAGCCGGCCAGTCCTTCCGCGTGACAGGGATCCTATGTGTCCCCATGTCTTTGGAAAGAGGTACTTAGAGGGCCCAGTGCTGGGGCTGGCCCGGACCCCAAGGCCCATCAGTGTCTACTCACATGTGCCACATATGCACTCAAAAGCCATGGTGCTCACTATAGGGACCGCTGTGGGCTTGCAGCAAGGGCCACTGAAGCCACACGGAGCCGCCACCCGCCACCTACCAGGCATGAGGGAAGACTCACCACTGAGCACCTCGTTGCTGTTGCCCCAGAAGTCCGCTAACTTGGACGGTCTGCTGTAGAATTCATCCCTGTTGGCTGCCAGGATGAGCCTGTGGGAGGAAGGCACCACTGTGAGTCTTAGAGGGAAATAGGGAAGCCATGGTTTTTCCACTTTTGAATATATAAAATCAGCATCAGGGGCAACACAGCCAAGTCCCACAAGGACAGGAAGCCTCTAACCCTCACTGCACCTGCTCGGACGAAGGGCCCAGGGGCTCTAGAAATACTCCTGGAGGGTCTGTGACCAGGACACAAGGAAAGGCAGGAGCCCTGTAAGGACGCATGTCCACACCACTCAGCAGCAGGAGGTGGGTCCCTGGGCCCTGTAGAATAGCCTCGGTCCCCAAGAGGATGCACCAAGCATTCCCCAGGAGCCCAAGCTGCAGCATGGCCGCTGCCTCTCCTTCTGTCCATCTGTCCTCTTCCCTGAGCATGCACACAGCAAGCCTGTGGGTGGCTGGACACATGAGCTCAAGGCACACGTTGAGTGCAGGAATGTGGGAGCCTCTGAGGGTGCCCTGTCCTGCGCTTTCTGGCAGGATTTTTTTTTGGGTAGAGAGATAGGAGGTGGGTGATAGTGAATGACTTTTCTGTTTTACTAGTTTTTTGCATTATGAATCAAATAAGTATTTCTTTTGCAATTAGGAAAGACACTGTCAAATTTTTTTTTTTTTGAGAGGAAGTCTCCCTCTGTTGCCCATCCAGAGTGTGGTGGGGTTATCACAGCTCACTGCAAACTCAGTCTCCCGGGCTCAAGCAATCTTCCTGCCTCAGCCTCCCAGGGGCTGGGACTAACTAAGGCCTCATGCCACCATCCCTGGCTAATCTTTTCTCTTTTTTTGTAGAGATGAGGTCTCCATCTTTGCTCAAGCTGATATCGAACTCCGAGCTCAGGTGATCCACTCATCTTGGCCTCCTAAACACTATAAAATTTTTAAGAGCTATGGTTTTAGGGGTAGAAAACTGAGTTTCAAGTCCCAGGTTGGCAACTGAAAAGTAAGTGTGGACACAGAACCGACTGCAGGTAAAAGGGGCAGTCCCTGCAGTGTCAGTCGGATCTGTGGGTCAAAGAAGTGATGGCTGGAAGACCCTCTGAGCACCGCACGTGGAGGTGAAGACCCTCTGGGGTCTGCACTGTACGTGAAGAGTGCACAGCTCCCAGGAACATGAGCTTGTAGTGGGCAGATGTCATGTTGTGAGCCTGAAACCAAGCTGCTGTGTTGAGATCTTGACAAGTGTTTAAAAATAATTTTCGTATTGATTACTGTATATTGAGTTCATGAAATACCACTGCCTTGTGGTGAAATGTGAAATTATAATAAAGAGCTGGAGCCACAGTGGCTCGAACTTGTAATCTTGGCACTCTGGGAGGCTGAGGCAGGTGGATTGCTTGAGGTCAGGAGTTCAAGACCAGCCTGAGCAAGAGTGAGACCCTGGTTCTAAAAATAACTTGGCACTGTGGTGGGCACCTGTTGTCCCAGCTACTTGGGAGACTGAGGCAAAAGGATTGCTTAA